CTCGCTCGCTCGCTCGCGCCTCGGCGTCGCCGGGGTGCAATGAAAGGACGCGCGTTTCTCTTTTCACTTAAGTGTGTTTATGTTATGTAAGTGTGTATATGTGTGTGTATGTTGTGTATGTATGTTGTGTATGTAAGTGTGTATATGTGTATGTAAGTGTGTATGTTGTGTATGTATGTTGTGTATGTAAGTGTGTATATGTGTATATGTGTATGCATGTTGTGTATGTGTGTTGTGTATGTAAGTATGTATGTGTGTTGTGTATGCAAGTATGTATGTGTGTTGTGTATGTAAGTGTGTATGTATGTTGTGTATGTAAGTGTGTATGTATGCATGTTGTGTATGTATGTTGTGTATGTAAGTGTGTATGTAAGTGTATGTAAGTGTGTATGTATGTTGTGTATGTAAGTGTGTATGTAAGTGTGTATGAAGTGTGTATGTGTGTATGCGAGTGCAGTCACTTGCGAGACTGGGAACATTTAAAATTGCCAGGTGCTTGAAGCCGGCTTGTGTTCTGGATAACACACACTGACTTTGCTGTTTGCACAGTAATCTTTTCTCTTACTGATAAACTGTCTGTGACTCATCCTTCAACGTAAATTGCAAAGTGCGGCAAAAAATGAATGTTATGCTCAAATAAATTAGTAAACAGGTCCGAGCGTTTATTCACGAGATTTTATTTTCCCACCAACAGTTGAATGGTACTCGTTGGTTCCAACTGGCGACGCAATGGATGGTGAAATATGAAAGGGTGACGAACAAAAATACAAGTCCCTCTTTTGTGCTACGGACCATTCATTTACTTCCGATGGGGCCCATCGGCAGACTCCGTGACCGGCTTGTATTCTTGCTCGACCTCGGTTTCACACCCTCCGTGCAGAACGCACTTCACGTCAGCGCCTTTGTGCAATCGCCGTAGCGGCGTAAAATAGGCAAGGCCGGCCCGCCACCGTTTTTGAGCGAGCCTCCACCGACGGCCGCGCCGGCGCTCTGCATTCTCCGCGCTGGCATCGGCGACGCGGACCGCGTCAGCCGCGTCAGTCGCCGGCAACGGGCGATGCTGACGGCACGCTCGGCGACGGAGCACTTAGCGGGCCGCCCGTATCGGGTGAGCCGTGCCGGCAGGGTCACCTGGAGCCAAGTGACGGACGTAAACATTACGTCAGCTCTCTTGCAGTGTTTCCCTCTTCCTTACCCACACACTTTTTGCCGTGACCGTCTTTGCTCCCCGTAAGATGAGCGGATCAAAAATACAAAGAAAAATAAAACAATGCAGTGGGCGCACCTGCAGAGACATTGTACGTCGCCATTGTGTGCCGCTGATCACCGCGGTGCGTCGCGTGGGCCCAAGACGGGGCTGTGCGGCGGACGTGGCAGCTCCGCTGGGCCGAGGCGTGTTGGAGCATCCTTACCCTGGAGCTGCTGAGCCAAACCCGCGTGAAACCAGAAGGTCGGCTGGCAGCAGATATATGAATTGAGTCTGCTGGCAGCAGGTCGAGCAGGTGATTTGGGTCTGGCCACCGTTCTGTCTACACTTGTTGGCTTGAGGCTGCCAGTGCGCTGGATGGATTGAGTGTGGCAGCGAGGCAGGATTCTATCATTGGGCCAGGTGTTCTATTCTGTAGATAGAAGGCACACACTTGGGTCTTCATTGGGTTGGCTCGTGAATGTTTTTCCTGGTAGTCGAGGTTGTTAGGTTTGTTAAACATGCCGTCAGGGTTATTTTGACAGGGCGAAAGTCCTTGCGTTGGGCTGTCACACAAAAGTGGTTCGCATATATGAAATGTCCGGTCTCCGTATGAATTGACTGATCGTTGGTGTGGATGTGAATGGTCACGGTGCGAGCACACTGCTTTGTGGGAGACGTTTCTCTGTCGTCGCCAGCAACTTCAACTTCCATTCGGTTCTACAAAGAATCGTCAGTTCTCGAGTAACCAGGTCAGGTGACGTGGTTAGTCTGACTTTCTGGATATTAATTCTGTCTTCCTGGATCTTCTCCTCATGATTTTTGCGTAGTTTTAAGCGAAACGTCGTATCTCAATACTAAATGTGGTTGTGAGAATTGTTCTTTGATATTCTTAGGTTTTTTCGGTAAAGTCACGTAGGTAAAAGATCAAAATTAATAAAAGTAAAATAATTTTTATTTTACTTTTACCGAAAAAACCTAAGAATATGAATACTTGCAGTCACGAAAGCTTCAAATCTAGAATTAATTGTTCTTTGACTTTATCGGTGACGTGCAGCAATGCCAGTCAGTGCGTTAGGTGCTCCAGTGAGTTGGACATTGATCTGTGGTAGCCGACCCAAGAAAAACCCCTCCCCCCCCCCCCCCCACGATTTTATCAAGTGTCATCATTCAGGGTGGTGATGCAATTCAAGACTATATATTTTTTTAAACATCGTGGCCCATTGTAGCATCTCTAGTGACTGCAGCGGTCACAGGAACTAATTGATTTATAACATATATACGAATGAAATTTTTTTATTTTTACACACACGATTTGTTCCTTGTTTTAGTGAGCGTAAGAATCATTTCCGCCCCTGGTTTTGACTCGTGTGACCTGAGCAGGTCTCCGAGCGAGGGTGGAGGTGAACTTACGTACGCACGTTGGTTGAACTTCTTTTCGCCACACGTCACGTGGGGGAATCACACGGCAGGAGCAGTGGAGCTGTGGCGGCTCTCGGCACTTGTGAGCAGGGCTGCCAGGCTGGGCGATGTTGTCTTTCTGTCTTTTTTAAGCTGTTGTGAAATTTGAGTCACATGAAAAAAAACTACTTTTCCCAAAATGTGTCCTCTAATTTCGGCTCCCCTCTGACACATTTAAAAAAAAAAAAACCTGGCATCCCTCATTGTCAGTGAGCTATGAACAAAGCTATGGCTGGTATTGCAATAGCACGCTCTATAATTTTGGTCTTTTTGGTTTTTTAAAGTTTTTATAAGCTGAGTAGGTGTCTTACCACAAAACATGAATACAGGATACAATTAGTGGGACAGTTAAAAGCGCATGTTACATTTAGACAACTTTCAGCCCACTATGCTAAAAATATAACTTGGGACAATACGATCCACGGTTTAGTGAATTACTTTAAAACGCCTCTGTCCTTCCCAGTATCGGAGCAGCGTGTCTAAGGCTGTCAAAGAAAAACGTGGCGATTTAGGCAGCGGCGTCTAATGGGATATTTTTTCCCGAACGGCGTGGCCGCTAAACCGCGAAAAGATGCGCGAGGCGAGCAGTTAAGTGTGCCGGGACATCTGCCGTTGACGGTAGCCTAAAAGGATTAAGGGGGCTGATCCTTTTCCCCTGAGGGCGCATGTTGGAGTATGTGCCACCGATTACCCCTCCCGAAAGCGGGGGCAATCTCTAACAAGCTGCTCAAAGCTCCGCGTTGAAGGCAGCCCACAGCTTCACGGATGGGAGGGCCCTTCGTGTCTTCCAAACACCCCCTGAAAACATCGGGGTGCACTTCTGTGGATTTTGTAGCTGTGAAACAGCCAGAGAATCCAACAGAAAAAAAACCCCCAAACCTTTAGATCTTTAGAATTTTTTTTAGAAGAAAGAAAGACTGGTCTTCTGCCAAAGCCGGTGGATTATTGTGTTATTTCGTCAGGACGCCTGCTCTCACACCGTAGAAAAATAGAACTTTCTTATTCTCATATCCGTAGAAGCCGTACGTTGCGGCGTGTTCTCAGCTGCCTCGTGCAATAACAGCGCGCTGCTCGGGCGCAAACGCCATTGGCAATTCCTGAAAATAGTGACGTCAAAAGTGGCTGTCTGGATGGCGCCTGGCCTCTTGTTCTTGGGTTTCGCGGCCACGTTAACACGTAGGGATTAAATTGTATTTAAACAGCAGTATTTGCAAGCGGTGTCCTGTTGCATTGTTAAAATTAAAAACCACCTGCAAATATGTGTTTTACCCGAAGCGGAAAACTTTAAGATGCCTCGATGCACGCGACATCTTGTGTGTTTTGTAACAAGATGATGCAGATCAATATTTGGGAGTTTGCTCTGAACAATGTCACAATAATTAGGTATCGGCAATCTTCGTATATTAATAAATATTCGTAATCATGCTTTGTCCGGAATTCAAGTTGTGTAAATTAGCAGGCCAGAGTCGTATATAGTGACAAAGAAAGGATGAGCGAGCTAAACATTCGTTTTTCAGGCCCTCATTTTCATTCGCCGCCGGTTTAGTCCACGTGCCAACTTTGACGTGGAAGGACGGATCGGTGGTGGTTGTCGTTCCTACCAGTTTGTGCACGAACACACACTTTAGTCAGTCCACTGCTGGATGAGAACCTGCACACACGGCTTGGGCCACGGTGGCGGGGGTGCTGTGCGTGTGGAGTGGTGGATTTCTCGGCCTGCAGCGTCACGAGTGGCAGCCGAGCTGACGAGTTGTTGCTTTTGTCGGCTGCGTGCCATGCGGGCCGATATGAATGATCTCAGCACTGCACTCCTCCTGCCGTAGCCAGGCTCTTCGAGGCACACCGCACAATGGCTTTGCTCATCACGTACGTGCACTGCCCTTTGTCAATCCGTTGCTGGATGAAGTATAAATAAGCAGAATATCATTTTAACGTCACATTCATTTTACACGCTAAAATAATTTCATTGTTTCGTAATTCTTTTTCAATGAAAACTATTTACATGCGTTTGTACTTGGTTTTATTGTTGTTTTATTCCTCTTGTTGAGCTGTTATTCTGTGCACGTGGTGCACGGAACAAGTTTGGCAGTGGCAGGCCTCTGCGCTGCGCGCGCTTGTGCCGTGTCTCTCATCACTTCCCCGCGACGTTTAGTTTGCCTCCACACTAGAGGTTTGGTTCAATTCTCCCCCGAAAGGAAAACAAAAAACAATGGCAGTTCAGCTGCTACAACTCAAAAATTGAGGAATTTGAGCGTTTGAAATCTGGTCTAGCTCGAGTTGAGAATTTTTAAATATTTCTGTACATTTGACGTTTAAAAAAATGAAATATCTTTTTCTTTTTCCTTCTGTCCAGCGATAACCGGTGGAAGTTACAGCCCAGTGGCGTCCCTGCAGTACTCGCCCCAGCTCTACCCCTCCAAGTGAGACACGGGCAAGCTGCCTCAGGCAGCAGATGCCACACACACACTGATAACCATGGCACTACCACTCCGCTCACAAGACAAGGACAAGATAAAGATTCCCCATATAGCCTTGAACAAACTCTTGGGGTAAGTGCTATTATCATCAGAATCTAAATTAGTGAGTACCTATGAAGGCTGGTCTGCACACAAGGGGGTGGTTGGCCAGCACTACGTCCAGCCACCGCTGTCTCCCCAGTGGCGGTGTCTACACATCCCACCAGGTGCTCATTTGAGGCTGAGTCAACCGAGGTCAGGACCAGGATGGGTTCAGATCATAGTCACAGGTGTTGGCCTTGAGTGGGAATCGAACTCGGGTTGCCGCGTTCGTAGCGGAGGGCATTAACCGCTGCGCCATCGCTCTCCGCACGAACACACACACAAAGACGCACACACTCCTCGCATCCTAGTTGGGTATATTAAAACAAGTGCCTTAGCAAAAAAAACACACACGTGCACGAGCACGCACTACTCCGTTGGCGTACAGCGCTCGCCAGCGGATGGCTCGTGACACCGTCGTGCTTAGCAGAGGCACTAACGTGCCGCCAAATGTCACTCCGACTTGCACGACAAACATTAGCGGCGGCACGTTTTTGTGGGCCACACAAAGCCCTAATGTACCGCGTGTTTATATTGGAGCCACATTTGGACATCGCGTGGTATTTTTGCTTCGCAATTATCCTCGCGAGTTTCCCCTGAAATAATATAAATGGCGCTGTAGCCGGCAGCTGCCTGAATGCGCCGAGGCGGAGCGTTCGTGTGCTACGTTCATGTGCCACGTTCATGTGCCACGGGTGCTTGCCGTCGAGATGCCAACTCACGCTCCGTAGCGTCTGTGGGTGTGTTTTCTTTTTTAAGTTTTGACTGAAAAATATAAGCTTTAGAATTTGATTGTAAATGGCCTCAGTCGTCTGACGGTAGCGCACCTTAGCTTATCGTGCACTGTCTTGCACGATAATCATCAACGTTGTCACAGTGGTGACCTAACTGTTTGATCGTTTTCGTCACGTTTTAATAATACGATGCATAATAGCCACTTATTTCGGAAATCATTATTGAGTCTTTTTTAGGAGAATCATGCAGTTGGAAGTTTGTTTACTCTGTTTCTAAACGACAGAAGCATCCAATATGCCCCTTACCATACTTGTCTCATCACATAAATACACAGCATGTGTGTTGAACACATCCAATCACCTTCACGGCTTCCAGGAGCACAACATCTCACCAGCATTGGTTCAATACATGCAAATTCTGGACCGATTTTGACCGTCATTGTCTCATCAGCAGGGTCAGGTTGACTTAAACTAATGCTGGTGACCTGCTAGATGTCTACGGGCAAGGACCCTCTCTGTCAGCTATGCGCCTTCGTGTGCCTTATTAATGTAAGTGTTAGCTAATTCAGTCCTGTGGTGAAGTGCGATCTGTTCCTCACACAACCGACCACTCCACTCGGTGCACCCACCCAGGAGGCACGGACGCTGCGCGTCGAGCTACTCGCGGTGCCGTGGATTGCTCAACACCCGGGGGTGACGTTCAGTCAGTCGCTTTATGAAATGGAGTTCTAAAGAAGGAATTCGATCGTAAGGTGGAAAAAAACGGAAAACAGTAATCGAATCTAAAGAGATCGTCATCGTTTAAACAGAAGCAAACCACGCTTGCCATTTGTTCAGTTTGTACTTGGACGCTACTGCTGATGCAAGCTCTCAAAGTTGGCAGTCGTGTTACGTGTTTTAATCTGGCTTTGATTTTGACTTCAGTTGTAATGCACTGTGAGAGCGACGGCATCTTACGTAGTGTGTGGCGAGGAAGGCAATGGTTTTGCTAGACAGGGGGCTTTGTTGTTGTTGTTTACATACTTCACCCGGCACTGACATCCGCCTCCCTCCCCACACTAGGGTTCACCTGTCACCCCACTCATCAACCTCCAGCAAGCGCACGCAGACACGCGGATATGTGCACGCACATGGACATACAACAACAATAACCGCCATTCGCTACTAAGTGGCAGCTACGGCGCTTGTGCAAGGCTACGTTAAGGCCACATGAAGTGTCGATCGCCCGCTGGCAAGAGGTCACGGGGCATACCCAGGTGCCATGGGTCGACTGACTGAGACGGACATACACGCACACGTACACAGACAGACGTGCACACATGCGGATACGCACACGTAGGGACACATGGACGCACGCACACATGTGGACATACACATGTGGACACATGATGAGGCAAGATCCCCTGCTTAGTCTTACAATCTGTAAAGGCAAGTACTGTTAGTGAGTGCCTCTTGAAACCAGTTCGGCAAGTGAGTGAGTTCTGTGACCAGCACCACTCCCAGTGCCACACCACAGTGCTGGTGTTTGTACCCTGCACCGAGTATTCGTCCAAGACCGAGTCAGCCTAGGGGAGGCCCAGGACAGGTTTAAATAGCACCTGTCACTCGTGTTATCCACAGCTGGGATTCGAACCCAGGTGACTTGAAACGAAGCAGAGTGCGCAAAAATCCACTGCACCACCGCTCCCCACACACACGCACACACACGCACACACATGGTTAGGGGTTCACTTTGAACACACACACACCGCGGGCGAGTCGCGCAAACACGTGCTATCCCAAGTACACAAACACAGCGATGGCGACGCAGCAGCAGCAGCAGCAGCCTCTCTCTCTCTGTGCGTGCCCCCCGTGCTTGCAGGTCGTACCCTCACATCCTGTCGGCCCCACCGGCCCAGGCCATGGCGGCGTACCCAGGTGCGGCGCAGTACTCGGCGGGCATGCAGCAAGCGGGCGCCTACGCGGGCTACGCGCAGCCCGCGCACTATGGCGTCTCCGACTACGGTGAGCCTCCGCGCGGCAAGCTTGGCGACACGCAGGGTACCTTCGTCGAGCTGTCAATCAAAATGTGCCCACAGCGTCGTCTTCGTAGTCCGCCATCTTCGTCGCCATCATCGTCGTCGTCGTGAGGCGTGATCTATTCACCGCTGGATGAAGGCCTCCCGACACCGTCCACACCACTCGCGGTTCAGTGATGCCGCCCGTTCATCTCGCTCTTGCACGTGAACTGGTCTCATCTCGCTCCTGCACGCGCGAACTGGTCTCGTTGATCCGTGTCCGCGGTGATCGTCCGCTTGGACACGTTCTCTCCTTTGGCTGCCACTTTGTCACCAGTCTCATCCGCCGTCCCCTCTTGCCGTGCCGTGTCCTGCCCAGGCTAGTTTACTTCTATTGTCAGTACGATGTGTCTGCTTTGTGTTCCCGGATTCACATGTTCCCTTCTCTTGTCTCTCGGTGCAATCCCGTGCCTGCGTCTCTCAGTGCTGCCTTGTGCACTTTTCAGCTTATGTATCGTTTGCTTTGGCAATGTCTATGTTCCTGATCCAGGCATCTCAGCTGGCTTCATGCATTGATTGAAAACGCTGCCATCCACAGCCATGGGATACATGGATTGTTTTGGATCTTGAGGCTTGAAAGTTCGAGGTCAAATTGTGTCACAGCACCTGGCTGTGTAAGGCTCAGGGCCGCCCGTACTGGAGAGCTGTGAAAAAGAGCGTCATAGCTCATCGGATTTCTCCAGAATAAATAAAGATTCTGATTCAGAGCCAGATGTGGAAATTCCACATTCTTAAGGTCAGTGTGGTGTGCTGAAGCAGGGTGCCAGTGACTGGTTTGGATATCACTCGCCACCCATGTTAGGCGTGGCCGGGAATTGAACTGGGTTGTCACCACGCTCAAATAGCGGTGAGCTAACCACTGCACCACCGCTCCACCCTCCTCCTCTTAGAAGGTGGTATTAGTGACGCAGATGGTGGTGGTATTGTATTAGTGGGGATTGGTTGTGTAGCGGTTAGCGCGCTGCGCTACGAACCTGGCTGCCAACACCAGTGACGATTATCTGATGCGGTCCTGGGCCTCCCCTAGGTCGACTCAGCCTCAAACGAGTCGTGTGTAAATATTGCTACTACGGAGACAAATGTGGCTGGGCGTGGTGCAGGCCACCCAACCTCCTCGTGTGCCGTGCCAGACTTCACGGGTGCTCGCAAACAGCACCTGCCCCAACATTCTGTTAAGGCTATACGGGGGATCTTTGTCTTTGGTGGTAGTGGTGGTGATAGAGCTGGTGGAGGTGGTAGAGGTGGTAGTGGTGGTAGGGGTGGAGGTGTAGGTGGTGTTGGTATGCTTCTAGCCCGTAATTTAATTGTGGCTCTGTATTTGCACGCCTTTGATACTGCGTCACATTTGGCCGTGTAAAATGTGCGCGCAACAATTACTTCTGTCCATGGCTATTGTGCAGAAACGGCATGCGGTTTTCCAGCCGTGGAAAAGCTTCACTGCAGACAGAAGGAAGGAAAAAAAAAGTAATGTAGCGGTCCTGCGAGTGAGCGCGTGGCCGGGCGGCGGCGACGCTCGCGACAGTAACCAGTACCGTCGGGCAGCCCTTTGTAAGTGCAAAGTGCTTGGCGGTTGGTGGTGCCTAAACTCGGGCGCACAGCACTGCCGCTATCGTAGATCAAACAGCGAAGCCCGGTCCATTAGCCACGTAATGGCTTTTGCCTTTTCCAGAGCAAATGTTCTCAAGCTCCTGATGTGTTGGGAATTGCTTTCAATAGGCCTCTTTGTGCATTTAAACCTCAAATAGAATTTTTATTTAATGTGTTTTGCCGATAAAGCCACATGTCCGATGGGTAATTTTGTTTCGGTGCTGCTTTTCCTCGGTTTAATACAGATTTATAGGCACACAGACAACCGCAGCATACTTGGAAAGCTTTTTGTAGAAGCTTAAGTAGATTTCCCTTTTTTCTGCTGCTAGTATTTTACATCTTGCAACCGCTAAAGCTGGACTGTTTGTTTAAAGTGAAGGTTTTAGTGCGGCAATAAAGCGTGGGGCAGAAGCGCACTGTGAATGAAACACTTGCGCAAACCTGGAGAGAGGCGATATTCCTAAAATCCTGCGTCGAAGCGGCTCTGCGCATAACCACGTACAGCGGAGGCCGTCCACACCGCAGCTGGACCTGCGGTATCGGGGAGACAAGGCCGTCTTGGCCGAGGCGGTGTCGGTCGTTTTGCGGGAATACCAATCGCGCTTCTCGTCTCGCCAGCGACACATCAAGTGCGTGAAGTCTCCGGCGTGAGCGAATCGATGTGGAGGTGACGGAGACGGCGTTGCCCGTGTTTGCCGTGAGGCAGGAGCCCTGCGGTACGGCATCAAGACGGAGAGCGGCCTGAGTCAGGCGCAGTCGCCCGTGCAGACGGGGCACCTCTCCTCGTATGGCTCCAGCTTCGGCACCTCGCAAACGGCACAGTCCGCGTACCCCTACCAGATGCAAGGTGAGGGCCTCGGTATGTTCCGCATGCCGCCGCCACCGGCACGGGCCACCACTGCGCGTCACCTTCTCTCGGCTTGCCCACCCTGGCTGCGGGTCGCGTTGTTTGGGCAACCTTCATGAGATCCCCTAATTGCTTTTGAAATATGATGATGACGATGATGGCAATGATTGTGTCTACACACCTTAACTCAAGCATTTGGCAGCTTCATTGATATCTAATTGAATCTTGTAACGAGTCCATATTTGCAGGTGGTGTGACTCACTCATTGAGGTCCTAGTTAACAAAATATTCATCACCGTGTCTGTGTTGCACGGTACATGGCACACTGCGCAAGTATACTGTTATGTATACATGCACATCTTGTTGCTGCCATAACGAGTGTTCGTAATAGCTTAGGGTACATGTTAAATTAATATACCATTTTCTGAATTAGCATTCAACGTATACGAGTACAGTAGGGGACTATGTGCTGTAAACAAGTGCTGCATGACGTTTGACACCAAGACTAGCCCTTAAACAATGGCATTGTCAAACGTGCAACGCATTCTCATTATTCCAAGCACTCTGCTATTATCTCCAGACTCCATCGAGGTGAATTGTCACCCTTTGTGCACCGCGTGTGTATTTACCTCTCACTGTTTACTGTTTGTGCTACTGTAGAACATTGTACCTCGAGGAGCTTTCCTGTAAACACGCATCTTTGTGCCTGGCTGAGGCTATAAAACGCCGGCCATAAACACGGTTCTGTGTGTGTGTGTACACAACACGGCATTTGTCTCTGGCAGCTGCAGCCCACTTTACTTGGGAAGTGTTGAGACCATCGTGAGCCAGCGCAGTGGATGTAATGCCGGGGAACCGAGTGAAGTCTCTTCAGATGAATATGGCAGTGAAGCAAAGCACCTACGATTTGAGTTGTTTATTCTAAAGCTGTTGCCACCGATTTTAATATTGAGGAAATGTGGAAGGTGGCATTGCCTTATCCATTATTATTTACCTGGATTACAAACTCTACACATTTGTCACCAACAGCTGCCCTAAACATATATAATACGTGACATCCGGGCAATGGCCCTGGAGAAGGCCTATTGCCTGAAACGTCACCTGCAGTATATAATATTATTACAAATTTTGAGCTGTGCTGTTGACAAATATTTTGTATTTTTATTAATTGTGCTTATACACCACTGCCAATGCTGTACCTTACTTTTCTTTTTAATATGTAACTTTATACTGATATGATTGCCTCTTGGAAATTGTAAGAAATATTATTCAAGAAATGCTCACGTTTACATATCATATCAATAGTCCAGAAAACCCTCACCAAATGGCAAGACTGAGAAGGGTCCTGAAATGGAATGCGTTTGCGAAATTCATCTTTGTGTGTTTATTGGGCGCTTAAATGCCTTGGCAACTCATAGCACCTTAAATAAAACAAATCCCCAAAGCTACGTGCAATACCAGGGCCAAATGTCAACAAAATCGGTGGGAAACGCCACACATTAAACATCGTTAGATTCACGGTCAACGAAAAGGATGGACAAAAAGTATGGGGAGGAGAAACTTATCATCAGCAGCAGCAGCAACCATGGTCAATCCGCTGCTGTATTAAGGCCTCCCCAAGATGCCACCACCTCTCACGGCTGACTGAGCGGGCAGAGAGGCGTGAGCTCAGTGGCTAAGCCCAAGCGGGGACCCACGCTAGGCAGGCACTTGGCGAGAGGTGAGACACGATGTCTTCCCTTTACTAACCTGGTGAAGTATGGTCAAACCGCACCCCCCCCCCTCCCCGCTCCGCCGATCACCCTCTGCTAAACCGATAGCTTGAAATTATCAAAAGCATTGTTCAGTAAATGGTCGTGGCCCTGCCGACACTAGAGGCACCTATAACGCACGTTTTTAAAATATAGCGCTGCTTATTTTCGCCTTAGCGCTGTCACTGCTGGATGACCCTGCGGTTCTTATTTTTTATTTATTTCTGCCAACAGCCATGACAGTCAGGGCAGTAATCTGTCCCTGCTGGGTAATGGCCCTATAATTGAACCCTCATCGCATTCCCGACAATCACCGTGATGGCCAGATCACCCGAAAGACTCGTTAACTTTAATGTCCGGTCTGTGTCTGCACTTGGATGACCTTTGGCGGTTAATGCACACGTGAACACGTACACGCGTGTACACGTGTATGTGTGCACGTAAACACGTGAACACGTACACGCGTGCACACATACACGTGTACACACATACACGTGTACACGCGTGTATGTGTGTACGTCTTCGTGGTTCTTTCGGTAAAGTCACGTAGTAGGGAAGTAATAAAATAATAAAAATAAACATAATAAAATAATTTTTATTATTTTATTACTTCCCTACTACGTGACTTTACCGAAAGAACCAAGAAGATGAATCCCTGCAGTCACGAAAGCTTTAAATCGAAATGTGTGTACGTGTTTACGTGCGCGCGGGAGAGCTGCGAGCAAGTGGCGGAGAGTGGGGCCAGTGGCGCAGTTGGAGTTTTATTTTAGTTTAGACTGTTTAAGGTCCGGCTTTAGTTTGTCAAAAAGTAAAATTTATTTGCTGCTCAAAGGAGCAATGTTTATCTCCTGTTTACAGCCCTGAGCCAGTGGTGGAAATTCCTCATTCCTACGGTGGGGGCGAGTCTATCCATAGAACAGCCGCTGTTGACTTCCCCACGAAGCAGGATGTATTTTATCGACCCCGGAGGGTTGATAGGCTGCGTCAACCCCGAACCAGGATGTAGAACTCGCAGCCTTCCCATTGCGAGCCGCCGGTTCTAGCGCCGAGTCACCTGACCGGATAAGGCGCCTAGCAAGCATCCCGACCCGCTGTTGCCATGTGTGTCTGCGCTGTTGTTGTTCACACGGCACAGGCGCTTGCACACAGGCAGTTGTTTGGCACTGTAAACTTCTGCGAACGGCTCGGTTTATACATCGCACTAAAATAATTTATGCGATCGCATATATGTGAAAATCTGTCGTATCTGTAACGCAGGATGCAGAGTTGCTAAAAAATAGTCGTCATCCGCTCAGAAAGTGGGAATTCCGATTGTAACTTTGTTTTAGCTCACAGCCGTTACCCGTTACGGATCCGGGAACAGAATGCACGGAGCAGCGCCATGTGGAAACACACTTGGTGCTTTGCGGAATGGTGTCACTTCTCATTATAAAATCCCGTTTACATGACCTCCATTTGTTTCCGTCATGCTATATCGCTGCCTGTGCTCCCGAATCCCTGGGATCATTCCTGACACCACATCTTTGCGGTGCATGAAAAATCAAACCTGTGTCTTGACACACCGCAAGGCTGTAATATTCCAGATTTGCCGCGCACCCAGCAAAACATGCCTTTCGCATTATGTGCGCTTATGGCAGCAGAAGTGAATGACAGAACAATCTCCCTGCAATTTGACGAAAAATAGCCAGGCTGCTTTGTACAATGATTTTTGTAAAAAAAAAAAGTAAAATTGTGGTCGCATTGCCCAGACCAACAAAACCAAAATCCCAAGCATCAAGCAACAAACAGCACTCGTAGGTAAAGTCACGAAAGAACCAAGAAGATGAATCCCTGCAGTCACGAAAGCTTTAAATCGAAACAGCACTCGTAGGGTTGTAACAGATACGAGTTGATGCAACTTCTTGAAGTGGACAAGGAAGTAAGGACATGAGAAGAAAGACGATGATGGGAAGAGGGGGGATGCTACAGTTGGGCAGTGTGAGGGAAGAAGCAGATAGATACATGTTGTGATCTCGAGTGTGGTCAGTGTGTGGGTGAGTGGGTGGGTGAGTGGGTGGGTGAGTGGGTGGGTGAGTGTGTGGGTGGGTGAGTGTGTGGGTGGGTGAGTGTGTGGGTGAGTGAGTGGGTGAGTGTGTGGGTAAGTGCATGCATGTGTGAGTGGGTGGGTGAGTGTGGGTGAGTGGGTAGGTGAGTGGGTGGGTGAGTGGGTGTGTGGGTGAGTGCATGCATGTGTGTGTGGGTGAGTGGGTGGGTGAGTGGGTGAGTGGGTGGGTGGGTGGAGTGGGTGGGGGAGTGGGTGTGTGGGTGAGTGCATGCATGTGTGAGTGGGTGGGTGGGTGAGTGTATGGGTGAGTGGGTGGGTGGATGGGTGGGTGGGTGAGTGGGTGGGTGTGTGAGTGGGTAGGTGAGTGGGTGGTGAGCGGGGGGTGGGTGAGTGGGTGGGTGTGTGAGTGGGTAGGTGAGTGGGTGGGTGAGGGGTGTGTGGGTGAGTGTGCATGTGTGAGTGGGTGGGTGAGTGTGGGTGAGTGGGTGAGTGGTGGGTGGGCGAGTGGGTGGGTGAGTGTGTGGGTGAGTGGGTGGGTGGGTGGTGGAGTGGGTGGGGAGTGGGTGTGGGTGAGTGATGCATGAGTGGTGGGTGGGGGTGAGTGTGTGGGTGAGTGGGTGGTGGGTGAGTGGGTGGGTGAGTGGGTGAGTGGGTGGTGTGGGGTGAGTGGTGAGTTTGGGTGAGTGTATGAGTGTGAGTGGGTGGTGAGTGGGTGGGTGTGGGTGTGAGTGGGTGGGTGAGTGGGTGGGTGGGTGGGTGAGTGTGTGTGAGTGAGTGAGTTTGTGGGTGAGGTATGAGTGTGTGAGTGGGTGGGTGAGTGGGTGGGTGGGTGGGTGTGTGTGTGAGTGGGTGAGTTTGTTGGGTGAGTGTATGAGTGAGTGGGTTGGTGGGTGGTGGTGGGTGGGTGAGTGAGGTGGGTGGGTGGTGGGTGGGTGGGTGGGTGGGTGAGTGAGTGGGTGGGTGAGTGGGTGGGTGAGTGGGTGGGTGGGTGTGTATGAGTGTGTGAGTGGGTGGTGAGTGGGTGGGTGGGTGGGTGGTGGGTGGGTGAGTGAGTGGGGGGTGAGTGGTGGGTGGGTGAGGAGTGGGTGGGTGAGTGGGTGGGTGGGTGGGTGAGTGGGTGGTGAGTGGTGGGTGGGTGGGTGTATGAGTGTGTGAGTGGGTGGGTGAGTGGGTGGGTGGGTGGGTGGGTGGGTGAGTGAGTGGGTGGGTGGAGTGGGTGTGTGGGTTGGTGAGTGGGTGGGTGGGGTGGGTGAGTGGGTGGGTGAGTGGGTGAGTGGGTGGGTGAGTGGGTGAGTGGGTGGGTGGGGTGGGTGAGTGGGTGGGTGAGTGGGTGGGTGGGTGGGTGAGTGTGTGAGTGGGTGGGTGAGTGGGTGGGTGAGGGGTGGGTGGGTGAGTGAGTGGGTGGGTGAGTGGGTGGGTGGGTGGGTGAGTGGGTGGGTGGGGGGTGAGTGTGGGTGAGTGGGTGAGTGGGTGGGTGAGTGGGGTGGGTGGGTGGGTGAGTGGGTGGGTGAGTGGGTGGTGGTGGGTGAGTGGGTGGGTGAGTGGGTGGGTGGGTGGTGTATGAGTGTGTGAGTGGGTGGGTGAGTGGGTGGGTGGGTGGTGGGTGGGTGGGTGAGTGAGTGGTGGGTGAGTGGGGGGTGGGTGGGTGAGTGAGTGGGTGGGTGGGTGAGTGAGTGGGTGGGTGGGTGGGTGGGTGGGTGTAGGTGGGTGAGTGGGTGGGTGAGTGGGTGGGTGAGTGTGGGTGGGTGAGTGGGTGGGTGGGTGGGTGGGTGAGTGGGTGGGTGGGTGGTGGGTGGTGTATGGTGTGTGAGTGGGTGGGTGAGTGGGTGGGAGTGGGTGGGTGGGTGGGTGAGTGAGTGGGTGGGTGGGTGAGTGGGTGGGTGGGTGGGTGGGTGGGTGGGTGAGTGGGTGAGTGGGTGGGTGAGTGAGTGGGTGGGTGAGTGGGTGGGTGGGTGGGTGAGTGGGTGGGTGGGTGGGTGAGTGGGTGGGTGAGTGGGTGGGTGGGTGGGTGAGTGTGTGTGAGTGAGTGTTGTGACCTGCAGTGACCCAGTCCTCAACATGAGTGCAGGAATCGCTGAGTGCGGTTCACAGGAACAGAGGCCGCCGCCGCCGCCGCCGCCGTAGCGCCAGCGTCAACACAGAGCCGTAGACAAACTGCGACACGGCTGGCGTCGACTCCAACACCGTTAATGTTACAACCACAGTGTCATGATGTTATATATTGAAGGTAAATGTATGTATGTATTTTTTTTTTATTGTGGAAAGGTATGTCTCCTTTCCTGTGGCTAAAATATGTTGTGATATATCATTGACCTTCTACCACATGGCATTCACCACTGGGATAACGTTGAAAACACCACACACATTTTCAACTTGGTAAAGTTAGTAAAGTTGCAACGTCTCTGTCATCAATCACCAGTCTTTTGTTTTATGCTAACCCTGTTCCTCAGCAGTTGCTCACAAAGAGCCAGGTTAGAGCAGATTGCCTTAACGATTACCAGTCGCCGTTGGGCAAAGTCGACTTACATGAAGGGGGCGATGCGGTGGACTGACATATGTAAAGGATACAACATAAGTCTCGACAAAGTCTTTTGTTAGCACGGCTCGCAAATTGAATTTATGATACTTTCTTTTTCCTTACTTGCGATAGAAAGACGTCATCTCTCTCGCCGATGATGAGTTTAGCTCGTGTGTGTGTGCATGTGTGTGTGCATGTGTGTGTGCCCGTGCATGCGTGTGTGCATGCGTGTGTGCATGTGTGTGTGCCCGACGCTTTGTTGCAGAGCCATCTCAATGTGCTGAGAGCATCAAGCCACAGTAGACAAGGGCCCCGCGCTGCAGACACTCGCACGCTCGCTCGCTCGCTCTCCCCAGCCAGACAATCGCGGCACAGGCCCCGACACCCTGTAGCTGCAATCCCCAGAGGACAGCGAAACTCTTCGCACGCGCAGCTCCAGCGTCTAGGACTCTGGGTTCTTGATTCATCCCGGTATCTGTAATTTGGCCCACGTGCTACAACTCGCAAAATCGGCAGTTAACCAAAAAATGGAAACACTGTCCTGCTCTGCGCTTAGGTTATGGACAAGAGGCATAGCTCAATTAATGTATCGTCTACTCCACAAGATTGTGTGTGAGGAGTTTGTATCATGGATTGTCGATGCAAACTCTGCTTTTCCGTGTTTTCACTTATCCATGATGGATCCCCCCATTGCAATGTGGGTATATTGTTTCACAGCATTCATGGCTTTTAAAATAATTATTCATCACCAGTTACTATCTTGTCTTCTTCCTGCAAGCTCACAAGATCAGGATTGTTGTTTTATTGATGTGATTGTAGGTAAACTCTGTTTTCTCTGTACGATTTGACCTCATCCACTGTAAACTTGGCGGCAGTATGCTTGACCCCTGTATAACGTCACCATCATCTTCATCATCAGCAGCTGTGGTCATTCCACCGCTGGATGAAGGCCTCCGCAATCTGACGCCACCTCTCAGCATCCCACCGACATCACACACGAGTATAATCTAACATTCGTTACCCATCGCGCACTGCGCGAGACGTCGTGAGGGCGATTGTCCGTCGCACCGTGTGACCATGGCGGTGGCTGTGCGCTGGTGTTTTGCTGCCAGGCGGTGGCTTCTCGTCGGCCGCGGGAATCTACGCCAGCTCCAACTCGGGGGGCAGCTCGTCTGGCTTCACCAGCGCCTCGCAGCAGGTACCCCGCGGCACGGCCCTCGCTAGCGCCGTGACCCTGCCCCTTGCCAGCGCCGTGACCCTGCCCTTCGCTAGCGCCGTGACCCTGCCCCTCGCTAGCGCCGTGACCCTCGCTCGCGCCGTGACCCTGCCCCTCGCCAGCGCCGTGACCCTGCCCCTCGCTAGTGCCGTGACCCTGCCCCTCGCCAGCGCCATGACCCTGACCCTCGCTAGCGCCGTGACCCTGCCCCTCGCCAGCGCCATGACCCTGCCCCTCGCTAGGGCCGTGACCCTCGCTCGCGCCGTGACCCTGCCCCTCGCCAGCGCCATGACCCTGCCCCTCGCTAGGGCCGTGACCCTCGCTCGCGCCGTGACCCTGCCCCTCGCCAGCGCCGTGACCCTGCCCCTCGCCAGCGCCATGACCCTGACCCTCGCTAGTGCCGTGACCCTGCCCCTCGCCAGCGCCATGACCCTGCCCCTCGCTAGGGCCGTGACCCTCGCTCGCGCCGTGACCCTGCCCCTCGCCAGCGCCATGACCCTGCCCCTCGCTAGGGCCGTGACCCTCGCTCGCGCCGTGACCCTGCCCCTCGCCAGCGCCGTGACCCTGCCCCTCGCCAGCGCCATGACCCTGACCCTCGCTAGTGCCGTGACCCTGCCCCTCGCCAGCGCCATGACCCTGCCCCTCGCTAGGGCCGTGACCCTCGCTCGCGCCGTGACCCTGCCCCTCGCTAGCGCCGTGACCCTGCCCCTCGCTAGCGCCGTGACCCTGCCCCTGGGGGTTGATGTTTGACATCCACTCAGTGGTCGTCCTCTTCCCCTGAGAGCATCATCCAATGCAGCTGGTCAGCATGCTTTATTATCGCAGCGAATGGAAGCTCAAATAATTATAATCTGTAAATATTTACCTTTGTCTTTTCCTAATCCTAAAATGCAACACTAACCTGACCTTGTGTGTTTTATAATAATGCCACGCCCTTCGACAAAGGCGTACGCTTGATAATTTTCGCACCTCTCCGCCTCTTAGATCTCGCCCGCTCTGTAGCCGCAGGCAGCTTCTAATGCACCCTTTAATTGACACGTGTGTTTGTGTGTGCTTTCACGCACGGTCACGCATTCATGAAAATAAGATCGGCAAAGGAAAGCAGGAGGGCTTTGACAGGAGTGCTTGGCAGTGGATGTTTTTCTAATCAAAAGGTCTAGCGAACAGGAAACAAGCAGAGGCTCAGGGTGACTGGGGGAGTATTGGGTGATAATTGAACCACGGCGAGTCAGAATGAGCTGCGGCCTCTACTCGAGGGACTGGGTGAGTGAAAGGGGTCATTGGGAGATTTTGTTTGCAAGCCTCACGGAAAAACAAGACCCCCACAGCACTCGACGCCAGAAACACGCGCAGATTGCGGCTCGCTCGCTGAAACTAAACACACGGAACATAATTTTGGAGCCAATCGCAATGTTTCGCATTGCTGGCTATTTGACGTTCACTTAGCTGCGTGCCACACATCTGTAACGTTCTGGTTGAGATTAATGAAAAAAAACCACGCGGTTTTAATTTTCAGAAGTTTAGAGGGAGAGGAAGAGCGAGCGCGTTGGCGATCGCTGTCCGCAATGATGGGGTTCCTCTTCCAGAAGCACAGCCTCATGCGAGACTTCACGCTTCCCCACCGAGCGCCGTCCATTTTGCGGTTGTGCACCTCCTCTGTGACTTGTTATTCGACTTCTGCGTTGTCCACCTCCTCCGTGAACTGTCCCCTCTCTACGTTGTCGACCCCCGCGCTCGCAGGACTTCTCGGCGTACGCGAGCTTCAACCAGGGCCAGTACGCGGCGTACTACCCGGCGACGGCGGCGTACGGCTCGTACGTGACGGCGGCCAGCGTGTCGGGCTGCTCGTCGCCAACCGCCTCCAGCACCACCTACCAGCTGCAGGAGCCGCCACCGCCACCTCTGCCTGCCACGCAAGCAGGTGCCGGTCGCCTCCACCACCGTCACCGCCACGGCCACTACTACCGCCACCACAATCATCACCACAACGATCACCACCACCGCTACCGCCACCACCGCTACCGCCACCACCCCAACTACATCTACCATCACCGCACACCACCAGCTGCTATATAAAAGGGTCATTCCACGAAAATTTATTGGGATATTTGGAAACATCATTACTCGATATTGCGTTTTAAGTATTCCTGTTAAACTCCTACCAACATCTCGGAGGGTGTCTGCAGTCCGCCGCGTGCGCTCGATGCGTGCCACTACGACGTCGCCACGGCGACAGCGCCCACGCTCGCGGTCCGCGTGCGTTGCCCTCCGCAGGGGACTTTGGCGCGGGCACCTGCCCAAGCACGCCCGTCAAGGAGCTGGACGAGCGGGCGCGGCGCGGCTCCGAGACCAAGTCCCGCAGCCGGAACCGCAAGAGCAACCCCTCCCCCCCGCCGGGGAACGACCTGGAGGTACGGCTGCACGCCTCGCCGCGGCAGCGAGCCGCCATGCCGTGACCTCGTCGGGCTTCGTGGGTCCACGCTGGGCCTCGTGGGGCCTCGTGGGGCCTCGTGGGGCCTGGCGCAGCCACGGGGATCCAAGCTGCCGTGGCCTCTTCTGCTGCCGTATGAGCGGGGGTATCGCGTTCCGTTGTTGTTGTCAGCCGGCAAGGTCCCACTGCTGGGCAGAGGCCTCCCCCATTTTCTTCCATTTCTTCCACATTTTGATGACCCTTGTCAAATGCCCTCCATCGTCAACTCGGCTCATTTGCGCAGATGTGGCCGGTGCACCGTGTCTGGATTGGCTGGTTAATGCGTGGAGCTTGCATGCCGGTTTTCTGTCTGTGGCGGTAGCGTGCGGCGTGGCAGCTTCCACGGCGACATCACGAATTGTCACGATTCAGGGTCGCCTGATCCTCTCTACTGTTCGCCACCCCACGTCAACCGCATCACTATTTTTACGTCGCTCGTATGGTTTAGTTGCTCCTCCAGCTTATGTTGTAACAAAGCAGCGAATGACCCCGTTCACCGAACAATAGCAACTCGTTGTTAGAGTGACACGGGGGCAGTTGTTGAAGATGGGGGGTTGTCTTCCCTCCGACTGAGCATCCCTCCCTGTCGTGTCGCCGTCCGCAGCGAGTGTTCGTCTGGGACTTGGACGAGACCATCATCGTGTTCCACTCCCTGCTCACCGGCTCCTACGCCACTCGCTATGGAAAGGTGAGAGCCTTGTCAATCTCTCGCGAGCTTCCATGGGGACCATTGACATTAAATCCGCTCGGAGTCAATTAACCGACATCCAAACAAACTTTCACATTGTTGAGGTTAAGTGTGGTGATTGTCAGTCAGGAGTGTTATGGGAATATTTGTGGCTACGACTTTGTTGCATATTTCTATAAAAAAATAAAAAGTAATAATGATTAAATGCCCCCCCCCCCCGAAAATGTACTGAGCTTAGCTCAAGTGCAGGAGCTAACTGCGTTTTTTACATAAAGACACCGTTTCAGGAGACCTTCATCCAGCAACAGAGAGACGGGTAGCTCAGATATATATATATATATTTATATTACACAATCTCTTCCTGTCGGCCCATCGCTGGACGATCGGGCCCTAGAGGGTGCCGGTGTGCGTTGGTGAGCGCCTCTCCCCCGAATTCACGCCAAACGCAGCAGGAGACCGTGCGGGGCAGTTGTGGCCGTGCCGTTCCCACCGCCGTGTCAAACCCGTCACGTTGGCTCCATCACATCACGCACGAGGCCTCTCCCGCACGAGGCCTCTCGCGCACGCGGGAGGATCAGCCCACCCGGCGTTCCCCGCGGTCGCAGCTGCATTCACGCAGCAAATTAAAACGTCGCCGACGCGGCGTCGAGAACGATGCGCCGGCTGTCGTGCTCGCGGCCACGCGACTGTCGGTGACTCTGGCGGGATTCTCTCCCACCGCAGGGCTCACTTCGAGTCCGTTGGTTTAACTTTCACTTCAGCGTTGGATTCTAGAATGTTACATTAGATACGCGGTTGTGCCTTGAGAGCCACTGTTTTGCCTGTTACAAAGACAAGAGAGTGCATGATCGTCTTCATCGTCAGCCATGGTTAATCCACTGCTGGATGAAGGTCTCCCCAAGCTGCTGCCATTTCCCATGATTTTTGAGAATAGGCTGCTCAAGTGGAAACGTTTGTTGGAGTGATAGGTGGCTCAGAAATAGTGCATTCATCTGCAGATGTTCAGCTTCAACAACAAGACCACCACCCCCACTCACACTGGTGTTGGCTCACAGCTAGAAATCCACTAAACAATTTTTAACAAGGGCAGGCCAATGTTTGTTAGCGTTTCACCAACTTTACAGAACAAGGATAAAGTTCCCGTTGCATCACTGTAAATAGAATAGAGTTATTGCGGAAAAAAATCATTCGGCAAGTCGCCAACGCAAGCCGGGCGCCTCACCTCGCGTGCAACCACGCGAGGTGAGGCGCTTGCCAAGCCGCCCCACGACGTCTCACCGACGGGGTGAGCGAGACCACGTGGGCATCCACCGCCGTCGCTACGCTTGGGCAGCAGCGTCGAGCGCTCATTAACAAAGTACACTTCTGCCTTGACTTTTACGCGGTGTGCTCAGCGACAAAGTCACTGCCCGGGTTGCTGAGTGGCCGGCAGCGTGTAGCACTGTTGCGGTTGCCATAGATACAGAGTCAAATGCGTTTATTGAAATGAGCATGGTTGTTATAGTAACTGGGGAAAAGAGACGATGATGGTTTGAGGGAATTCCAAAGTAGAGCAGTGCGTGAGAAGAAGCACAACGAGACTTGTTGGGACCTGCAGTGTGGTGCGTAAGCGAGTGGGTGAGTTAGTGAGTAGGTTAGTGGGTGGGTGAGTGGGAAAGTGAGTGGGAAAGTGAGTGGGTGAGTGAGTGGGTGAGTGGAAGGATGAGTGGGTGGGTTGTTCGGACCTGCAGCGTGGTGCTTGAGTGAGTGGGTGAGTGGGTAGGTGGGTGAGTGGGTGGGTGAGTGGGTGAGTGAGTGGGTGGTTCAGTGAGTGAGTGGGTGAGTGGGTAGGTGGGTGAGTGAGTGGGTGAGTGGGTGAGTGAGTGGGTGAGTGGGTGAGTGAGTGGGTTGTTGGAACCTACAGTGTGATGGGTGGACACTGTGGATGAGATGTGACTGTCCGTCTGATGAACGGCATCCTCAGGCGAGGTGGACTGACACGTACGATTGATGTCACGTACATCACGTAGATTCACGTTTAGTTTGTTCTTCCCTCGCACCTCTGATGAGCACGGTTGGCTACGCACGGTGCGAAGGAAGTTCAACATACAGACATAAAGTCCCAAAAAACTCCTCGTGTAAAGTATCTCTCCGCACTGTACAGTGCACGCAAAACATTTTCACAGCGACGACACGGTGTACGTACGCCCGCGCGCACGTACCCCGTGTGTACGCGGACGTGGCTCGAGCCGTTGGGTGGAATGTGCTGGGGAGTGCTGGATATTTTTAGGGGCTCCCATTCTGAACGTCGCCCTCGTTGCATCTGTCACTGCCGCGAATGACAGCTGTAGCCGGGCAATGCCCCCAGCCCGGAGAGGGCCTCCCATTAGCTCACTCGTCAAGCGCCAGGGTCCCGCGCGAAAAGGCGCTCTTCTTAAACACGCGGCTATCGACGGCGCGATTGCGGTGCGCCCGTGCTGGAGCAGGCCTCCGCAGGCGCTCACTCGTGTTAGTTCACACGTTGCCCCGTTGCTGGGTGACCTTCTTACCCGTTTTGTACTCTCTCCTCTTTCTCCTCTCGCTTCTCTTCTCTTCTCTTTCCTCTGCTTCTCTTTTTGGACTGGGATCACAAGTAATCGAGCCCTGCTGTGAAAACTTGGCAGGATCCTCCTGAAAACGAGTCACAAGACTCAGTGAAGCTTTCCTGGGTATACAAGCGTAAATGATAAGTAGTGAAATGATTTCGTTACAATTTGAATAATCATTATGGGTAGCACTGTGGTGCTTGATCAGTTGGGTGTTTAGCCGATTGTTTATCTGTGATTGTTGAAAGACGTACCACTTTCGAGAAAAGTAAGATGGTAATGGTTCCTATCAGAGGAATGTGGATTTTTAAAACACTGACTCACTCACTTTACTATTTCTTCATCTTATCATGAAGCTGGTATCGCGTTACTGTAATATTGAAATAGATTATTCAGAGCAATCATGCTGATCATCTGCCTTTCTCTATCCACTGTTGGATGTTGACCTCCCTAAGCTGCCACCATCTCATACGGTCCCCGATCGAACATATCACAGCAATAGTTTATAATGTTTTATGAACACATGTAGGCCGTATTGCCGTGTAATAATAGCAACTGATTATATGAAGATTGTCGGGGCGAGGGAGGGAGCTCCAATGGTGACTGCCGCTCGGACGTCGCCAGTGTGGTTGAGATACATCACGTTCAAACACTCTTTTAATCTGACATTTTATCAATAATGATCCTATGGATATTGTTTTATCGCTTTCCTTATTTAAAAGCGCTTGCATATTCGATCGATGATTGTTTTGTTTTCTATTGTCTTGCTTCATCTTATTCCGAGAGGCTCAGGGCGAGAGAAGTCTGAACCAGTCCTGGGCCTTCCCTCTTTACCAACACGTGCTGAGCAGTACGGTGAAGTACGGTCAAACAATCCTGACAACCACCACACCTTAGGTGACAGAGGGTTGAAACTTTAGAATGTCGTGTTGTAGCAAAAATCCGGTGTGAAAATTTTGAGGTGGCCCCCACTAAAGGCACTCTATGAGAACAATGTTGTTATTATTATTACTACTACGGCGAGCGAGACCCTGGAAACAACCCACCTGCCACTCCCCTTAGAAGCCATCGGCTGGGCGGTGCCTTCATCTCGACTGTGAACTCACATCCTGCCCCGCAGGATGCTGAACGGGGCCGGCCACCGAGTGGCCCTTGTTTTCGGCCGTGAGAGGCAGAGCGGCTCATGAATCATTCGCCCCTCGGGTTGGAACTCTTGGTCAGAACCTTCGAAAACGTGTCGAGCACTCTTCCATACATTATCTTCTCAACTGGTTGCTTGTAGTATCAGTATTTTTGTTTAGTTTCGTCGTCAGCATCATCAGTCGTGTTCCATCCACTGCTAGATGACAGCCTCCCCGAGCTGCCGCCACCTCTCTCGATGCTGCACCTGCACACAAACCGATTTCATCGCTCCATATCCACGATGCATGTCCGCTCGGACATTGTTTGTTCCTTGGCTAGCACGGGGTTATTATTCACGATGATCGATCATCGTCCGTTTGAGTGACACGGCCTGCCTAAATGGGCTGCGTCGATGGAAGGGAAACCCCCCCCCCCCCCCCCCCGCTAAGCTTCTGGGCGAGTCTGGCCGCTCAGCTGGCTCATCCTCGCCGACGTTCCCCGCTGACTCCGCGACCCCACTCAGCCGAAGGTCGCGGTAGCAGCGCTGCAGGTGTGCCACTCTCCCTCCTCCTTCTCCTCCTTAGGGATTTTCTTCTGAATAGTTTTTCACTTTTACTTCTCACAGCTTACCATATTTTGCATGTTATAAAGAGCGTTCTGTTTGAATTAGTTTCAACGTTTAAGAGGCAACGTAATTGCCAAGAGTTTTGTGTATACGTCTCCAATTTAAAAAGCACAAAAAGTTGAATTATAAATGGCTCCGGTCATGCAATTTAAACATTTCCATAAATTACATTTTTCGGGTGTAAATTCCTTTCACAGCATAAAACCTCACGAATGCAACACAAAGCGGCGAGCCGCTCACACAGAGGCCGAGTGTTCCTTGCACCGTAAAGCGCGGTATGTGCCGCCAATAATGGGCAGCACGTGCTTTCTCACAATGGCCCCTGCAGGGCGTACAGGTGCGGCGGCGATTGCTCAACTCGCTCGCTGTCACTGCTCTTGCAAGTCACACTTGTCGCGGTCATCTCCTGCTGCCCACACGAGCATTGAGGTGTTGGTGCTGATCTCACATTCACAGCCCTCAGCCACTGGCGGGAATTCCAAATTCCTGTGGCAGAGAGAGGTATCTCCATAGGACAACCACTCTTGGACTTTGTCACAAAGTGGTGCTCAATTTATCGCCCCTTTCGCGATGATGGGCTTATTCAACCCCCAGCCTGGATGTGAACTTGCAACCCTCTGATTGCCAACCGCTCGCTCTTCCGCTGAGCTACCTGGACGGTTAAACGGAACTTCCTGAGCGCTTATATCTGGTTTTAATTACCTGCAAACTATAATCATGAGTTTCACTTTAGACCTATGCTTTTGACATTTTCACATTTTTCCTTTCCGAGAAATGACAAGGATTAATATGAATTGTGACATTTACATTTTCCAATTGGAATCCAATTTGAAAATGCAAATACGAAAAGCCATCATAATGTTTTGAATGGATATGAAATATTATAGTAACTAAGGATGCCAGCCAATTAGCTAAAATATTAATTGGTTATGCGTTATTATTGCTCCATTAACTATAATTAATTACTCTCAAATCTCTGTTGTGTTCAACGAACACATCCAGTGATAAACAACCAATGATAAACAATACTTATAGAACTCACGCAATGGAGGATTTAAGTTAATTGGGCATGGCTGATGATGAACAAATGTTAAAACTGCTGTAGCTGGAGAACGTAATTAATGAGAAATTGCACATTGGCTGTGTCGCTCTAACAAATGCAGCATGTCCCCCCTAGCGTGACTCGGCGCTGATCACGCGTCTGGGCGATCTGCTCTTTGCGAAGCTGAAGACTCACAGTGGGGAGCGACCGTGCACCCCTCTGGCCACGTGACGCATGGTTCAGCATTATCAGGCGCCATGCGAAGCGTTTCTGTTGACCTCAAGTTCCATGGAAAAATCAAACGACACGAATTCCAGCAGAAAAACTCATGCCCAGTTTGTTCGGTTTGCTCATGTACAAAGACAAATATCCCCTGTATAGCCTTGAAGAGACTGTTGGGGCAAGTGCTGTTAGCGAGCACCTATGAAGGACGGCACAGCGCGTGAAGGGGTAGGTGGCGAGCACCACGCCCGGCCGCCTTTGTCTCCCCAGTGGCGATGTTTAAACACTGCACCAGGTACTCGTTTGAGGCTGAGTCGACCTAGGGGAGGCCCAGAAACGGTTCAGATAATCGTCACTGGTGTTGGCTGTGAGTGGGAATCGAACTCGGATCGCCGGGCCCATAGCACAGCACGCCTACCTCCTTGTTCATGTTTTTGCACCCGAGTCAAGAGCGTTATTATACCTCATACATGAAACTGAAAATGAAACTGAGACACTACCGCTCCCACACAACAACAATCGCCATTCGCCACTAAGTGGCAGTGACATCACCACGACGCTTGTGCCAGGCTATGTGCACGTTGAGGTCACGTGAAGTGTCGAACGCCCGCTGGCAGGAGGTCACGGGGCAGACCCAGGTGCCACGGGTCTACTGACCGAGATGACCGAGATGACTGGCTGATGCACCACCTGTGCCCCCTACTGTACCAACTTGCTGTGCTTTAGCCACCCGGCGCTCAGCTCGTTGTTGTGAGCGTCGCTCCTCCGCCCTCCGTTGTTGTTGAAGGGCGACTGCCTCCAACTGCCCAGTAGCGTCCTTCACGAGCCTCCTCCACAGAGGCTGATCTTGACACCACTGGTACCAGTCATCGGCTAGTCCACTCAGCTCCACATCCTCCTGTACCACATCACTCCATCTCTTTAGCCCGTGGCGTGCCCATTTAGTCCCCTCGATCCGGCTGAACAAAAGCTGTTTAGGCATGCGGTGGCTGGGCATGCGGGTTACGTGACCCAGCCAACGCAGCCTTGCCTGCCGGAGGAGCTCACCGATGGGACTTTGTCCAGGTCTTTCAAGGATATGCGAGCTCCCCCACACACAGACAAAGATAAAGATCCCCCGTATAGCCTTAACAGACTGTAGGGGCAAGTGCTGTTAGCGAGCACCTATTAAGGCCAGCACGGCACACGAGGGGGTGGGTGGCCAGCACCACGCATACACACACGCGCGGCCCCTTCCTTTCCTGGATGCTTTCACCTTTGTAGAGTTTTCGCACTTCACTGGATTGATTTTAGCCGGCATGTCGTCAGGACAGATTCTGATATTACTTGATACAGATGTTAACCACGGCCAAGAATCAAACCGAGGTTTTTAAGTTTGTATCACTGTCCCACACACGTTAATATGCGTGCATACATATGCACAGGCATGTGTGCAGCCCACACACTTACATTTAGCTTTCAAGTGAATATATTGTGTATCTTTAAAACGTGCGAGCCCATGTGCACAAAGTAAGATGCACGTGATTGGACCGTTACCACGCAAACCACACAAACGTGTGCACCCACACGGTTGCTTTGCCTGTTCCGACACGCACACACATGGCTGTAAAGTCAGAGCGTGGATATTCGTGTGCGTACGCCACCCGTGCCACCCTGCTAACTTAAGTCCACGCAACTCGCGCGTGCTCAGGGTTTGCGTAAGTGCTGTCGCGTGACGCGCCGTTAATGCGCTTGGAATTTTGGCTTCAGGTTATTCGCTGGCGGAAAAAAAACCCCATCACGCTGGAGTAACAGCCCAATCGTCTTTCCTGCTGCGAACGCGTGTCCTCGACGGAGCGGCACGTACACCGCGGCGGCTCGCCGGTTATGATTCACCCTCTGAGTCATGGGGCAAATATTGTCCGTGGAATGCACAGAATTTGAACGATACTCAAAACGGCGCGCACGCATGCAAAGCCAAGCAATCCCGCTAAATTCATGTCTGGCATTATTATAAAAACCCGCCAACATTCGTGCAACGAGGCTGTTATTATTTACCGCCGACTTTGATGATTCCCTGCGATGTTTGCAAACGCGGACACGGGATATACCGGACGGATGCTTCGCGTTTCGCAGGCCGTGTTTGTCAAGCTCTAGAGTTTTATTTGTACTGTCTCGTTCATGTTGTAGCTTACATCGGCTTGGAGCTGTCCTCTTATAGGGATGCAGCTGCAATCCACACCGCAGGTTAGAAACCTGGGGCAAAAGAACACATTGGTTCACGTTGGGTAGAAATGTTTTGCACGGCCCTTTGTGCACGCTGGTGCCGTTGTGAGTGAAACATATTGCAATGACAAGGTATTGTTAATAATGTTACGCGCTCCCTGACATAACTTAGAGATTTGTTTAAAAAAAAAACAGTTATTAAAAGAGAAGGATTGGTTGCTGCAAGCTAGAGTTGTACATTGACTTATGCACCCCTCACTCTCTCTGTTATTTGGAATGTTGTTGCCTTTAGTTTGGCCCGGCGCTCTTGAAGCAGAACCTCATTTTTGACCCTTAGGGTTGACCGGTGACAGATTTACACTCTCCAACGGCAGGGATGTTTTTTAGGTGTTTTGCATGGGCTGGCCAGAGGCCTCCAACCTGCGGGTTTAATTAGAAATGTCAGCCCTTCCCGTAAATTCCCACGTGTTTATTTGGTTGTGACCAGCCATGCGATGCTTCCGAGGACACCGTAAATATGCTCTGCTCTCACCGATTATTTTCCGTTTTTTCCGTTATTCCCCCACCCGGCGTTTGTCAAACTCATTTGGTTTGCATCCGAACGAGCATCTTCCCGCACGGCCACGAGCAAATCGCAAATACTCGTCCTCCTCGCAGACCAATGAGACTAGTGCCCTTGACGAGGACTTGCCGTTTAACCATGCATCAGGTAAAACACGTGTTTTACATACGTGATGCATTCGCCAAATCGTGTGCACGATTAGTTTTAAAATATATGCAACGGACACGCTAATGTAAACTTTCGGCTCACGGAGTGAACAAAACTATTACAAAGGAGCCTGAAATAACGAGGGGACATCGAAACGAGATGGCGAAAACGACACAAAATGATACATCGACGATGGCGTCTCCCAGGGTGCCCCCGGGCAGTGGGGCCACTCGCGTCTCCCGGGGGGCCTGCCCCGTCTGCACTGCGCACGGGAGCCGCCCCGCCCCGGGTGACTCACGTACCGCTTGCGTTCGTTCCAGGACCCTCCGACGTCCGTCTCCCTCGGGCTCAGGATGGAGGAGATGATCTTCAACCTGGCCGACACACACTTGTTCTTCAACGACCTTGAGGTCAGTGCCGGTACTGGAAAGTCGGCGACGGAAAAGTCGGCCGAAAGAAAGGTTAGCCGAAGCAAAGTCAGTCGAAGAAAAGTCAGTCGAAGAAAAGTCAGTCAAAGGAAAGTCAGGCACGGGAAAGTCCTCCACGAAGGACAATGACGTCACATTGACGTGACCCCGAGTATCTGGCGAGTGGTTGCAGAGACACCAGTACCCACGTGTGAGACTTAAGTGAGAATGATTGGAGAGCGCAAATTAAATTAAGATGTCACGATGAAAGTTGCGGTACAAGCTTGTGGATATTTACTCAGCGGTTCACAAAACGTGAAGGTTTTCTGGAGAATTAGGAACAGCTGTGTAGTCTGGTGGTAATTTTCTGACAGTTAAGTTGCCGAGTGCAGTTGTATTCCCTGGATTAGTGGATTAAGAATGATCTTTTAATGAAATTTTAATTTGCCAAAAAAGTTCAAAATAAGCAATGCTACTCTCATAAACTCAATAGCCCTGGGTGAATAAGTGGTAAATATTTTACCGGCCCCGACCAGGATATGATTATTGCAACCATGAGGTTGTGAGCTGACCACTTTGCCAACTTAATGAAATGCACGTATGAATGCATATATACAACGACGTAGTCTGACACAAAGACAAACATCTCTTGTGTAGCCGACACAGGACGGCACGGCGCACGAGGTGATGGTGTAGCCAGCACCACGCCCGGCTGCATCTGTGTCCTCCAGCCATAATGTTTACACGACAAATAATGCACTCATTTAAGGCTGAGTTGACTTATGGGAGGACCAGAATCAGTTCAGATATTTCCCACTGATGTTGGCGGCGGGCGAGAATCGAACTTGGGTCGTTGGGTTCGCTGCGCAGAGCGCTGTCCGCTACTCTGCTGCACTGCACTCTCTCTCAAGAACGCACGAGCACACGCACGTACGCACGAGCACACACACGCACGTACGCACAAACACACACACGCACGTACGCACGAGCACACACGCACGTACGCACGAGCACACACACGCACGTACGCACAAGCACACACGCACGTACGCACAAGCACACACACGCACGTACGCACGAGTACACACGCACAGCGGTGTGACGTGGGTTATGAATTTCTCAGCGGAGCAGTCCCTGGAGTTCGTAAAGAATGGGACCCGGGTAAACGGCGAGGCACGCGGCACGGGCAATCCATCTTGGCTCTCTCGCCGGAGAGGCGTGCGCACTCCGTGGTGTCAGCGGTCCTCATACAGCGCGCACACTCCATGAAACTGCAACATATCATCGGATAATTGCCTCCTGTGGACGCAGAAAAAAATTCTATTCTTGCGTATGAGTGAACTACAGAAAGAGCATAATTCTTAAGTAAAAACATGGCAAAAGGATATAATAGTTTAATAATTTAATGATTTTTTTTTAAATAGCATGGCAATAAGTTAGAATAGTTTTTGGGCAGAAGAGCGGCGCCAATAATCGCCACGCTGAGTGTTGATCACGACGCTGAGTGTTGATCACGACGCTAGGTGTTTATTCACGACGCTGAGTGTTGATCACGACGCTGAGTGTTGATCACGACGTTCAGCTCCTCGTCAACGCCGTGTTGCGGGCGGTCCAGAAGCTGGGCGCCGAACGGTCGACTCGCTCGCTCACGATGATGACGCGCGCTCCAGAGCCGCTCCATAATTTACACGGCTCTCTGCGGGTCGGCGCGCGTGAAGTATTCGCCGGCTCGTTATGATTTATTTAACGCGAGCCGAACGCCACTTTAAGCTGTAAGTGCCCGTGTTGTTTTGGGCACCGGTCCATATTTCTTTGCTCTTCATTACTACCGCGGAGGAAAAACAAACGTGACCCGAGTATAATTCCTGTCCTTGCTCAAAGCACGGATCAGTTCATTCTACGGTTGGGGCCACGTAAGCTGTCACCTGTGTGAAATACGCTGTTTGCCTTTAGAAACCCCATCCGTGCGTAACTTATCAATGGAGATCACACGGAGGGGCGCGCCCGCGCGGTGTCCCGCAAGCGCCCGCCGGTGCCGCCTGTCCGGCGGTGTGCGCGGTCTGAGGTTTCGCAGGCCCCGGTAGGAGAAGCGTAAATTTCCCACCGCTCCTGCTCGCTCTGCTTTCTCGTGAACTCGCTCCACTCCCCCGCTGGGGTTGCCCGGCCTGGCACGGCTCTCGGAGCTCTTTGTGCTCCGCCCGCGTCGTCGTTTCTCCTTCCCGCGACGAGGTGAACGCCGCGGGGTTCGCGTGCTATAGTTTAGGCCACCGACTCCACGAGAGTTGAAAATGTGGCCGTCCCAAAACTACCGGTGGAAGGGCCTCCACTCGAAGCAGTTCTCGAGGAGCCCCTGCGAGAGTGCATATTGGCCTACTCTTCTACGTTGGCCATACATCTTGGATTGGGCGGTAATACCCGCACTTTACCCCATGGCTCAACCTACTGATTGACTAACCGGCGGTATGCCCATCTCCACTGCTCAGTGGACAGCGACGGAGGGGTTGAAAGGATTGCTCCATCGTGCCATTTGCTGCGCGGCGAGGTAAAATTGACCGCTGATCTCTGAGATTGCGCACGCCCGGCACGCCGAGCATCACGGCGGCATCGTGACGGCAGCGCTTGCGGTCTGTTGCAGCACCGCCACTTGAGCGGGAGGTAGCGCTCTGCAGGGCGTGCAGAGGGGGACGGCGTTGCTGTTGCAGAGGCGAGGGGAAGTCGAAAAAATAACAGCGGGGGGCTGAGTCAGCAGGACGGAGTGCGAGTGCAGCTTGAGCCAGCGGTGGTCTCTCGGCGTCGAGCCGCGTGGCTCCGAGGAGAGAGGTGGGCACAGCGAGGCACCTCGGATCAGAGGCATCGTCTTACAAATTAACAAAACCCGCGCATTGATAGCAAACTGCAGCGGGCTGCTTGATTCGCATTTAAACTCAATTAAAATCCTTTGTAGCGCAGTCGTTGGCTTTTGACTCGTAATTGAAGGAGACCCTGCACTACTTTAACCAGGGCCATTTTAAATTGCGCCTCAAGCCGGATTACTTAACTGTTCCTTGGTGGCCTCGCTGTGTACCTCGGTGACCTCAATTAAGTTCCAGCGAAGGGCGCTCTCCAATCGGCGTGACAATCTGCTAAGAAGCGAGCCGCTCCTCGGCGCTCACCTTCACCTTCACCTCTTTCACCATCCCCCGAGCGGAGGTGGGACGCGGCTTCTCTCCGGGGAGCCGGAGCCCAGCTCCCCCCCCCCCCCCGCCACGAGAAGAGGCACCGTGTGCAACGCACCTCGTCGGCGTCGTCGCGTCGTCGTCGTCGTCACGGCGGCGTTGTGACCGTGTGCGGGGTCGCGGCGAGGTCGCCGCGCGGCTCGGCTGCGGGGGGAGGGCAGGGCGCCCAGGGGGGCCGTGGAAGGGGCCGTGGAGGGGGTCGTGGGCTCGGGGTAAGAATGCTGTGATGCTGTGATGTTTTTAACCCTTGGGGAGAGAGGGACCAGGCCACCCTTGACCCAGGATGTAATGAGCACCAACTAGGGGGAGTCTGGGAATTGTAGCCAGGCTAGAGCACGCAATACGTAAAGAACATTTATGCCGCCGCCTTTTTTAATCGGATGCTTTTTTTTGCGCTGCTTGCGATTTGTTATGGGTTTACTGACAAAGCGCAGACTTAGCCTTGAGAAAACAACCAAGAACGCCGAAGCTCGGAAGAATAATTCATCACGGTGGCCTGCAGCGCTGCTCAATGCGAACACCGCGCGCGCGTAAATCGGTTCGTCACACTTTCATGTTTCATTATCTCTGCGCTGATTCCTCCGACTTTACAGAATGTTCGAGTTGAGCCAGTCGTGTTTATCGTTGGAGACCTGAGTCGTGAATCTCATCATGTTAAACCTTGAGACGTTGCAAACGTTTGCCTCTTTGGAACTGGCAGTCATCCCGTCACGTGCAACGGTGATAATCTTGCTTGAGAAAGGTGACTCCACAACATCTGGAAAGTGGCCACAGCATTTCTCTTCAAATGTCTACGTTCCGTACGGTTTAAAATGTGGGTATGCCCACATCTTCCAATATGTGAAAGAGTAGACCAAACACCCTTAGGAGTTTTCTCGAGTGGAAGTCCTGCTACGAGTGGCGTGAGAAATTGCAGCGCTGCACCTTTGCCTTTTGTCACCTCAATACAAGCTGAACTTGTGACCTCTAATTAAAGTGCGCCGTCCACGACGATGCAGAGTGATATCCCTTTGTTTTCTCATTCTCCAAACATCTCTCTCGTTAAGGGACGACGGAAGGAGCGGAGTGTTGTGTGCGCTCTAAATATTCCCAGACCCTGAAAGGTGCTGAAAGAGAAACCACGCGTTTCACGCCCCAAACAAACGTCCCAGGCTCATTACGACCCCGCGAGCTCCGCCATGCTGGCACACACGGCGGAGGTGACTGTGCCCGGGTCACTATCCCGGATTGTTGGCTATTACTACAGTTTTTTTTTTACAGCATCGCCATGCATTTATGTATTCGTTTCCAAGATATGTTGTTTATTCACTGCGCTGTTGCACACAGCAGTTTCCACGTACTGGCAGAACATGAATAACCACGCGCTGACAATCGGCCAAACGCAAAACTACGCTCTGCCGTTGTAGCCAAAATGGGCAGGGATACATTTTGAGATGGAGGGACTAAAAAAGTTTGAAGGAAGAAAATAATCATACCGATCAATACATTGCAGGTGGCTCTCAGCGGTAGAGCAAGCAGCTCGTAATCAGAAGGTAGCGAGTTCACATCCTGGTTCAGGGTTGACACGGCCTGTCAACCCTCCGGGAGCACTTTGTGTGTGTGTCCTATGGATAAACTCACCCCTGCCATAGGAATGTGGAATTTCGACCAGAGGCTCAGGGCTGTTAGTAGGAGATGAGCACTGTATCGATGGTCATTTGAGTAGGAAATTACTTTCCTTCCTTCGAAAAGGGTTAGTAATTCTCAATGTGATTTCACAAACATAAATAAAAGTCTTCGAGCAGAACG